TGGGTGACATCTTGACCCTCTTCAGTTTCCATAGTTTCACTCTAGAGTTACATATCACTGGAAATGATCACTCCCACACTTGGGTGTTTTCTTGTGATGTGTTTCATCTTTTAGGACTTTATTGCTCTAGAGTAATGTTTACATTGATGTAACTACACATTCGCAAGAAGGAGACAAAACACTGAAAAGACATTAGTAGATCGTCTATTGTGACAATGCAGGATACTTAATAACAAATTCAACTGACTTGTCCGATAGTTAAAAAAAAATAAATTTAATATTTTAGCATCCCCTCTCCTTTATGTGAATGTGTAATTACATCAACATCTGAGAAACTCGTAAAAGTCAAAACACATGACACACAAATTTTATCCACTTTGTCATTAATTTATTAACATTGTTCTGGTATATGAAGCCTATGGGTGCCACCCTGGCCCTCTTCAATTGCTATTTCCATGGCAAAATGTCAATATGAACTCAACCCTTTAGCTCCACCAGTTCAGACTTTTAAATCTAAGACTTGCCGTTAGTCTAACAGAGTCAAATCACCTAACTTTCCTCTGTATTCCATTTGTAAGAAGGAAGTTCTACTCAATATCTGTCTATATTTCTGCAATGAGGTATTGTAATTATTTACATTGTTTGGACTGTTGTCCATATCTTTGTTCCCATATTTATGATGTTTCAGCCATTGTATGCTCTGGCCTTCTTCAGGTGATTGGAATTTTGAACTAAACTCTTTATTTCATCCACTGGGGTAGATTGTTCTAGATCCACATGCCATATCACTTACAGATGTCTCAGTATCACTTATCTCCCTTTAATTCACCTCTGCAATAGCCAGGTATTGAACTCGCAACTCTTTGGGTCACGTCAACTGGATTCAACCAATGCTCATTTCCCCCAAGAACTGTTACTTTGTGGATCATACTCTCATTCCCTAAAATCTTAACTTCTTCAAGTCAGAGGTCAATCTGTATCTATCCTCATTATCTTCACTTCCTTCTACCTCCATTCAGTAACACTCTACAATGAGTGGCTCCTGAGCCTTATATTGGATGAACCTTAAGAAATATTGATTAAACTTTTTTTTATAGGTTTCATTCTTTATTATGTAAAGTGCAACATGAATTCTTATTTATAAAGAAACCTGAAACATCTCAGATTTAGAAAAATATATTTGATTAACGTAATATCATGTATACATGAATAAATAAGTAGTTTGTTATTTTACATGTTAATATGGACCCCTTGACATTCTATAATCTTCATCAGTCTTTCTACCGTTGACTTTATTCACTTTCCTCCACTTTAAACATTATTGCTGGATTGTTTATTACTTCCTAGCCATCTTTGATCGCATATTTTTTTCCATTTTCATATATATTTTTTTAATTGTTTCACCTCAAGCAAGGCAATAAAGCCACTAAGATACAGATGGTTACTGAGTGTGAAAGTATATAAGAAACAAAACATTATTAAGAAGAACAATAAAAGAACAAAAAGACAGAAGATTGACAATATATTTAAATTTTTGAAGATCAAAGTTGACTGGCAAGTAAAGAAGCAAGAAGAGAATTTCACAAGTGAAAAATGTGTGGAAAGAAACTTAGCGTAGAACTTACAGTTATATCTCGCCATTTTGACCTTAGAATGATGAGAACTTTCCACCAATCTAATACTGTACTTAACTTCATAAAGTCTAGGTACCAAAAATGAAAGTCATATTTATTTCTTTTTATACAGAAAATTTATCACAAGGCCAAAAAGGGTGGATGAGGAAATGTTGATCTGCATCAGTCTTATATTTAAACTTAGTTAGCCACAATCACTAACCTAAACATACCACAATATTCCGTACACCAAAACAAGTCATTCTTACTTAGCATTCCAAAGAGGAAATTTCATCAGAATTATTACCATGAAAATATTTATAAAAAAGGCACAGAGAAACTACATTATAAGAGTAAGAAAGTGACTAAAGCAGATTCTTCTTTGAATTTTATCAAGGATATTTAAATATATAGCAGGAGTAACAGATCCTATGAGGCAGCAATATTCAAAGTATGGACGAATGGTAGATTTATAAATATGTAAGATAGATTCAGTATTTTCTTGCTTATTTCCTCTTTAATTGTTCTCAAGTCGTTTTTAGGGTATTTTTAAAATGAGTTTGATTTCTTATTTTTATCATGCCAATGTTTCCAATTTTGTTTTTGATTTTTTGCAATTTCCAAAGATTGATTCAATAACTTATCTTGTATCTTGTTTCTCTTTTGAGATTATGTTTTTCTTACAACCTATGGTAATATTTATCTGTTGGAAAGTACAAAATAAATATTAATAACTAATTAGGTATTGTAGATATTTATTATAGATATTAATGGATAGATAGATATTCATTATAGATACTTATAGGTAGATATTTATTATAGTTATTAATGATACTCATAGAGAGGTATTTATTATAGATACACATAGATACATATTTATTATAGATATCTGTCTATATTTCTGAGATAAGGTATTATGTACACTATCTACATTATTCGGACTATTGTTTTAATCTCTGTCGCCATATATATTACAACGTTTCAGCCAGCCTTCTTCAGGTGGTTGGAATGAACTGAACCCTTTATTTAGCTGACTGATGTAGACTGTTCTAGTTCCATGTGCCATGTTTAATGGATGTCACTTATCAAATTTCCTGTTAATTCCCCTCTCCAAGTTCTCCACTGCCTTAACCAGGTATTGAACTCACACTCTTTGGGTCCCGTCACTGGATCTAACCAATGCCTTTATCCACTGTGCCATGTGTCCTTGAGGATATCTGTGTATAAATTTCTGTGTATTTTATAAGCCTAATGACTCAGCAACCATTTTTTACCAGTGCTCATATTGCAATTTTTTGCTGTTATCAATCCATGTTTTTATCAGAGCTCATATTGAAATTTTTGTTGTTATTATTGCTTTTCTCTGGCACTCCTTATTACTGGTTCCCATATTGTATTCATTTCTATACTTGGTCGGCTCAGGAGATTTTTGTGGCCTAGCATATGTGCTGATTCCTTAAGTTTACGAATTTTCCAGTGGTGCTTTTTGTCCATTATCTCAACCTGATCCCACAGAGAGCAGTGATCTCCCTTCTCTCTCCATATGTGGTCAGCCATGCCTGATTTTTCCACTTCCCCTCGTGTTACAGCTTTCTGGTGTTCTTGAAGCCTTACCTTGAGGGGGCGGCCTGTCTCTCCTTTATATTCCTTTATATTCCTTTCCGGGATAGCGTACACACAGTCTTTAGTCATGTTCTCCTCTCTTAATATAGATACTCATAAATATTTATTTATAATAGATATAATAAATATTCATTTATTTAGGTATTATAAATATGTATTACTTATTTTAGATACTTATAGGTATTATAGACATTTATTTATTATAAATACTTATAGATATTTTATATAATATGCTGAACAACTGTTGAATTGCATAATTAATTCCCACACCAACAAAAAAGTTATTATCATCAATTGTCCTAAATACAGATGATATCAGTTGAAATTCACATGGTATATTTGTTGTATAAATACAAACTGAAACAAAGATCGAATTGACTGGTTAAACGAGTCCAAAATACAACTTACCAGAGCCTTCATCAGATTATTTTGAAAAGAAACAAAAAATGAAACTGATTACTTTGTTAGAATTAAATAAAAGGCAGTTGGTTAGTGCTTTAAGTTCATTAGTTGGTGGAGATTTCACTAAAATATATAAGATTTTGGAATCACCAATCAAGTTATGAAAGTGTAAAGGTAGCAGTGTCCAGCTGTAGATGTAGCTATCAGTGTCTGATTAGTCCTGATTGGGTTTACCAGGGAAGGGGGCCTGATATTTAAAGACCTGAAACCTTCAATGATCTGAGTTATAATATATCACTGACAGCACCCACCACCACCACCACCACCAGTGTATCAGAACATGTTACCAATATTACTTGCTTAATAGCAATTACATTGTTAAAACATTGACATTTATTAGAAAATTTGACATAGATTATTAATTCTAACCAGATGGAGGGGGTGATCAATTACTAGATGAGAATAGAAAACCAACACCCACAATTTCATGTTTATTAACTTATATTACATTATTTAGATTATTTGGACTATTGTCCTCATCTTTGTCACCATATTTATTACAACATTTTGGCTGTTGTACACCCCGCCGTTCTTCAGGTGGTTGGAATGTTGAACTGAACCCTTTATTTCGCTCACTGGGGTAGACTGTTCTAGTTCCACGTGCCATGTTTAATGGATGTCAGTTATCAGTTATCTACTCAAAGACACATGGCACAGTGGATAATAGGTGTTAGTTAGATCCAGTGACGGGACCCAAAGAGTGTGAGTTCAATACACAGTTAAGGCAGTGGAGAACTTGGAGAGGGAAATTAACAGGAGATAACTGATAACTGACATCCATTAAACATGGCACGTGGAACTAGAACAGTCTACCCCAGTGAGCGAAATAAAGGTTTCAGGTTAACATTCCAACTACCTAAAGAAGTTGTAATAAATATGACGACAAAGATGAGGACAATAGTCTGAATAATGTAAATAGTGTACATAATACCTCATCTCAGAAATACAGACAGATACTAACTTATATTAATATTTAACGTAAATATGTCCTGTAAGTTTTACTGACATCAGTTGATGAATACTCATTTTATTGTTAAAACATTGATGCGCAAAATAATTCGATTGACTGATTCATTTATTATGGCTTATCAACCCTTTGTTAGGTTATTTAAAGCCATAAAATACTTTTAGATGGTAAGAATTTTCTTTTTGAGATAATGATTTAGGGATACAAGTCTTGCTGACAGGGAGAAGAAGTGGATTCATGCCTTTCCTAAGGATATTATGCATATAAGTGAATATAATGAACACAACTGGAATTGAAACTCAACTTTTTGATTAACAATTCCGAGTCATTATCCATTACAGCACTTAGTATTCCCAAGTGGTCACCCATCTAGGTACTGACCAGGCTTGATGTTTCTTAACTTTGTTGACCATACAGGAACTGGTGTTTTAATGTGATATGGTCATAAGCCTAAAAAATAATGTCTGACATTGTGTATTTATATTTTAAAAGGAGCTTTGGCCAGAAAATGCAAAACTAGAATTAAAAGTAAAAATGTGACACTGAAAAGAATCCAATACTTCTAAAAATTTTCCTTCAGGGAGATGGAGAATATTTCTTAATAGGGGTTTAAGACTAAATTTTCTATACTAATAATATTACTTTGTCCTGGGTATGACAATAAACTACATCCGTGTCCTGAGTAAGATGATAAACTATGTCCAACAGCAAGGAGGTCTTGAGGAGTGTGGAACCACCTCCTTATTGCTGGTGTTCCCAGGTCTGCCCTGACCCGGGGTGGTAGCACCTGTTAGGGTCCCAGCTATGGGCAAATATTTAACCCCAAATTGGGGTTAAAATGCTATGAAAGTTTCCGAAAAATAGGTTTTAATACCAGAAATACTTTGTAAAAAATTATTTCCAGCAATAAATTTTTTGAAGAAAAAACCTATTACCATCTTACATTTTTTTCAATAGTTTTTTTGAAAAAATTATTACTAACAACACATTTTGAAAAAAAAAAAATTATTACCAGAAATAGATTTTTGACAAAACAAAATATTACCAGCAACTAAAAATTTTGTCGGCATTAAATAACTCATTGAGGTTGATATGCCATTAATAATATTTTTTAAACTTTTTGAGAGAGAAAAGACAGAAACTGGGAGAGAAGATACACAAGGTTTGTTGAATAAAAAAGATACCTGTAGTTTTAATATTTTTGAGAGTGAAGTAGTTGCCATGGATTTGACTTTTGCTGTGTGACATGAGATGAACATTATAAGCTGAAGTATATCCAGTTTCAGGGAAATATATATTCAAATATTTTCCTTTTTCTTTCTTTTTTTTTTCATCTTTTTTAATTTCTATCTTTTCCTTTTTTTTTCATCTTTCTCATTTCTTCTTTCTTTTGTTTTACATTTTTTGCTTTTGTTTCCTTTTTTTTTGGCTTTCTTCATCCATTCTTCTTGATTTTTCCCATTTTTATTTTATTTTCTTTCTTCTCTCTTTCAGTTTCCTCTTTGTTTTCTTCTTTTTCATTCTTACGTTTTCCTCTATCTTTCTTTACTGTCACGTTTTGCCTTTTTCAACTTTTTCTTTTCTCTTTCTTTCTATTCTGTCTTCTTGAATCTTTCATTTTTTCGTTCATATTTACTTCCTTTCTTTTTTACTTTTTTCTTTCTCTTTTTCTTATTTGTCATATTTTGTTTCTCTTTCTACTTTTTGTTTTTCTATATTTACTTCTTTTCATTCTTTTTCTTCCCCAGTCCGTTGATACCCAAATCTGTTTTAAGCCTGTCAGATAAGATCAATAGCAGCAGGTTTCTCTCCTTTCGCCAGCTGTCTGTATATGCATCAAAATAAAGGCCAAACATTGAATGATGAATTTTTAAAAAGATGTCCACCTTCAATTTATCCTGGTAGGATTGGTGCAACCACATCTCTTTAATTTGTCTCACAATCAGTGTAATTTATACTCTTGGAAATTCTTGTTGCTAACAATGTATACAAACATGTATCAGGACACTCCAAAATGAATGACTCCTTTTTTATTTCAATGAGAAGTACCATAAGCCTCCTCTTCTTCTATATGCCATGTCTGTTCACAACATAGGCGATAATATCTCTCCACGACTTCCTATCATTTGTAGCTTTTAGTAATAACTTATGTAATATCAGTACTTCTATATGACAGAATTTCCTCACAGATAAACGAAAGACTTCCGACAACAGAAATGTGGTTCTACAGAAGGATACTAAGAATACCATGTACTGAAGATGGGAACACTGATGAAATTTTAGAGAAAATGGAAACAAAAATTACACTTCTAGTTAACATCAGAAAGAGATAGCTGACATTTTGATGCATAGTGAATACACGCACACAAACACACACACATATATATATATATATGTATATATATATAGTATGTGTGTGGCAGAAATAGCTCCCAGAAATATCTTTCACATAATGAGTTGAGATGCTGAATATAACATCTATCAGCTAAGTGAGAAATTTTATTTATATTAATCCTATAAAATAGTGATATAGATATTGATATATTAGGCCGACAAAAGAAATTTCAGGGATAAAAAACAACAATAATAATGATGGTGATAAGAATAAGAATATTTATTGTATATTATTAGGCCTTCAGCCTAATAATATACAATAAATATTCCTATAGAAGCATGATGAGAAAAGATATCAAAAAGCCCTAATAAATATTATGATTAGAAATTTTTTGAAGTAAATTTCCTCTGTAACCCCTGTTAAATTGCCTTGCATGCTGAACTGCTATATGGCAGTGATTGCTTGGACAATTTCTTCACAAATGAAGAGGACACTTGAAGCAAGAGAGATGTGGTTCTACAAAAAGATGATGAGAATACCATAGATAGAGCATGTGAACAAGAGGAATAGTCCAAAATATGAGCTATGAAGTGGAGGTGTCACAATCAAGCAAGTATAGAACAGTATTTGGGAAGTGTTATAACAGACAATGGAAAATTTGCATTGGAATAGTAAAAGATGCCTTCCAAAAGCTAAACAAAGTATTAAGCAACAGGAAAATATTTATTAGAAAAAAATAAAAAAATCTCCTCATTGGTTATGTAATATTATTTCCCTTCTCTATAACAATGAACACTGGACAATTTCCTCATAGATGAAGAGACAACAGATGTGGTTCTACAGAAGGATGATGAGCATACCATGGATAAAGCATGTGAGCAATGACAAATTTCTAAGGGAAATCAAAACAAAAAGAATCAGGAGAAAGTTGAAACTTCTAGGACACTTAATGAGGAAAGAGGGCTTGGAAAATTCGACACTCACTGATATAGAAAGCAAGACAAATAAAGGGAAACAGTGAGCAATGTATTTGTTAAGCTTGTGTAAATGGATGGCAGAACAAGGAGTGGGTGGGACAGTTTTCAGGACGTTGGTGATTGTGACTCTCCACAATTTCCTCTCCTTTATATCTCTTAGTAAATTTTGTCTTTTTGTTATCTCTCCTAAGCCCAGTTTGGCCGCCCATTTACTCAAGTTTGTTATGTTAGTTATGTGCTATTTTCCCTCTTGCCTTCAATATATCTTGTGAGTGTCAAAATTTCCAAGCCCTCTTTCCTTGTTTCCATTTTCTCTAAAATTTCGTCAGTGCTTCCATGTTCAGTCCATGGTATTCTCAGTATCCTTCTGTAGAACCACATTTCTGTTAGTCTTTATATATATATATATTTAGCTCAAAATACTTCCCAGCAAATACACATAATGGAAAAATATTAGCTAAATGAGGACAAAATTGCCACTACATTTTACCATTATGTGGAAGATATTTAAGGATGTATATTTGAAAGACAGACCCTATATATAATATGACAGAAAACAAACACATATATGTGTATTTATATATATATATATATATATATATATATATATATATATATATTTGACAGACACACACACAATATTAAACAAAGAAAAAAACACCTAACAACAATAAATATCACATAAATTAATTTTTACCTTAATATAAAAATAACAAAAATGAGAAAATCTGCTGTCAATTGCAGAAACCTCCTGATGAGTGGACCAAATGTTTAAAAAAAGAGTTTGTCTATGAAATTCCAGAGTTGAGATGCTGAATATAACATCTATCAGCTAAGTGAGAAATATTATTTATATTAATCCTATATAAATAGTTTATATAAATATTGATATAGTAGGCTGATGAAAGAATTTCTCAAACATTCAGGTTGGTAAATATAATTAATTTATGTTTAATTAAAAAATAAAACATTTACTTAAATATAGTATATCTCTAAAATAATGCATAAACAGCAAATTTTGATCACAGCTTGAAACAATCAGATGTCTATCACACTGATGAGTTGTGATACACTGAAAGACTGTGGATAACTAATATATATATAGAGAGAAATCTATGACAAAGTGGAAAAAGATTTTGTGCAATGTGTTTTGTCAAGAAAGGTGAAATGTTGTAAGAACCTGGATATAAATTTATTGTTGATGTTCTAGTGATTAAAGCACTTTCTATACATTTTCATTTTAGTAAAATTGCATTCACCTTTAATTAGAGTAGCATTTTTCAAATCAAAATTATGGTCAGACTTATTACAGTGAGCAACTAATGCATTGAGTGTGTTGTTTTGTCGAAGATTAGTAAATTTACATCCAGGTTCTTACAAAATTTAACCTTTCTTGACAGAACTTCTGTTAGCACAATGTGGGATAGTTAATAAGGGATAAAAACATAAACAAAAGGAAAAATAGACATAATGGAATTAGCTAGACTATATACCTGTTGTGGCCTGTAAGGGGCCAGAATGAAAGACACGGAAAGCAGGTAGGTAGGTTGAACAAGTGTATTGAAATAACAAAACATATATACAAAATAAGAGTGTTATTAGTCAGCAGATAGAAGTGTCCATCCAAACTGTCAGGTTACACTGCATTCCGACTGCCTCTGCTTAGGAAGTTTTGCAGATTAGTATTTATAAAGGAGGAAGAGTTCATTCTAATGTAAATAGGTCACCATATCAATACCCAAAACATATTAAAAAAAAAAATCTAAAAATCTCAGTGTCTCCTCTTCTTCATACACATATGTAGTTACATCAATCTAAACATGACTTTAGTCTGATGAAGTCCTAAAGGACAACATGTGTTGCACTTTTTCAACTTTTCCTAAAATGTTTTTAATATATAAATATCTATATATTGTTTTCACACACTCTCTCTCTCTCTTTTTCTCTTTCTATATATATACATACACACAAATAGATTTTGAAGTCAACATCCAGTAGCAACAGACTGTTTCACGCTTAAACACAATTTTCAGGGTGTTGACCCCAATGTCTACTTTTATATTTAAATACGCTCTGTCTCTGATATTGAGCACTTTAATCCATAAATATAGCATACCTTAAAACTATAATTTCATTATATATATATATATATATATATATATATATATATAGAGAGAGAGAGAGAGAGAGAGAGATACAATAATTATGTTACATCCAGCTGATCTTTAAATCATGTCAACCCTTATTGATGCACTATTATGATGGCCTTGTGCCAAACAAAGATGTCTATATATGTAGGTACTTTGTTGAGGAATTCTTTTTAGTTAACCAATTGGTCATCATCAGGTGCCATAGAGATATTTTAGATGAAGCTTAGTAAAGAACCGACCACAAAGGGACACATACCATTTCCCTTGATTTGGAAATAGTTCTTTTCCATATCAAGTAAGAACAGATGGTGTATATTATGTTTTCATCATAAAAAAAAAGGTGACCATTCTTATTTTTGGGTGTACATGTGGATGTGTCTAGAAAAAGCTTAGAGAACCAATTTAGCTGTGTTGGATTCTTGTGAGATGAAAGTTGATTTTTCCTTGTTTCCTATTGAAACATAATCTCTATTTACATTAATAATAATAATAGACATTTGAGACAACCCTTTACAAGGCCATTTTATTTAAAACATGAGGTAAAAAAAAGTTTTTCTTGGAAAGTTATTGAGCAGATTTCATTGAGACAATTTTTCTCAGTACCAGATCAGTGATCTTATGCACAATATTTTTATATTTTTTCTATCCTTTTTTTAAAAGCATTTCACCCCAAGCAAGGCAAGAGTGCCACTAGCACGCAATGGGTTACATAAAATGAGAGCAAGAATAAAGAGGAATGTTTGAGGAAAGGATATAGAGAAGGATGGGGATCAGGATCAATGCATCAGAAGATGTCAATTGACATTACATTTGAATATTTGAAGATTATATCTGTCAGGGAAACAAGTCAGAGGAAGGGAGTTCTACTGTCGGGAAGTGTGAGAGAAGAAGCTGTTAGAGTCTTAAGGTATGTATCAGTTTTCTTTCTAATAATTCCTGATGCTTCTATTATTGGAGTAGTTGTTGAGAAGTGTTTTAACAGAGAGTAGGTAGTGTGATATGAATATCCAAAGGTATTGCAGAATATGCCTGCCAAAGCTAAGCAAAGTATTAAGAAAAAATTTCATTAGAAGCAAAGAAAAGAGTACTGAATTGTTATGTAATATTGGCCCTCCTATATGGCAGTGAATGTTTGACAATCTCCTCACTGATGAAGAAGAGACTTGAAGCAACAGAAACAAAAAAAGCAGACACCAAAAGGAAACTACAAGAACTTCTGCAGAAGGTAATGAAAGAAATCAAGAAGGAAAGAGAAAACATCAATTGCAAGAAGGCAGAATGCATAGTTACTAGAAAAAGGAACATATCTGGGAAGTAATTTTAACAGGGTGGAAAATGCAACACTAAAATCCAGAGGTTCACTGGGAAAATGAAAGAAGCTAA